GAAAAAAATATTCCAGATGCACAGACGCATCTGCCCCTTCCTTCAAGGGGTCCTGGGCAACTTACATGAGGTGATGGCATGGCGCCCTCGCAACAGCCCTGTGGAGGAGGGCAGGGCGAGAGGTAACGGCTGGCCCAGAGCGACATGGCTGAAGAGGGGTGTGCGCTTGGGGGTGCGGCACTCCTGCCCCGCCCGGGAGTCCCCACGAGCGGCTTGTGGGCCCCGTGTGAGGCCGTGCTCGACCGGGCGGAGCCTGGGCCTGATCCACAGGGCCTCCTCACGGCCGCCCGGCTTACGTCAGGACTGGGACGCTACACCAGCGGCCCATGCATCACCAGCCCTGTTCGAGTGCACGAATACCAACCCGGATCTGCCACGTGCTTCCTTCTCATTCCTGTGCAAAGGAATCCCCCAGAGGAGCTGACCCAGGAATGGGGAAGCGCAGAGAGCGTGGGCCTTCAGCTTGATGGAGCTCCCTCATCCCATGACCTGCCTGAGCGTCTGATCGGCCTCGGAGGCCCTGCACTGGCTCGAGAAGCCGTGTGTCCAGAGCTTTTTGGTGGCAGCTGTTCCCCCCCCCCCCCGCCCCCGGCAGAGCCTGCTCCTTCCCTACTCCGTCAACGTGCTTCTACAAAGACACGTGTCTGGGGCCCGTTTTCGTTTCTGCACCGTCACGCAGCCGAAGCGCTCCGGGCGGTTTACGGCAACGTCCCCATTCGCCCCCCGCTGCCTTCATCCCTGAGGCATCCTGTTATGGACCGCTGCGCTGCTGCTCTCATCGACTTATTTTAACCGCAGGGGAGGTGGCAGAGCATTTGGAAATGTGTGTGAAAAAACCGATGTGTAGATGGAATAGCAATATGAGAGGAAAGCGGAGGTAGCGAGGCCCCCACAAGCGAGCTGCAGGCCCCTGCTCTGTGCATTCATTTTATCTATTTCATATTCATACTGCCCAGCGGCCAAAGGCTCACTGCCCAAGATGGCCTGCGGAAGCCCGTTGCATGCGGAGGGTCTCCGGCAAGGACGCGCGTCTTCTCCAGCTGAAGCAACGGAGCAAGGGATCGTGCACCGGGCGTCCGTCGCGCTGCTCCCTCTGCCAGGGATGCACGACCGGCTGGGGCACAGAACGCGCAGCCAAATGGACGGAAGGGGCCCGCGGCAGCTCCGGGCAGCCGAAGCTCTGGAAAAGCTGCACGCAGCTCTACCGAACACTGCACGACCGGCGCAACGGCGAGGAGCCGATGCGAACGCGGGGGGCTGGTCACAGGGACCCTGGCAAGAGGCTAAGGAATGAAAAATAACAAGCAATTATCTCCAGCACAGCAAATCCTTAGAAAGGGAGGTGTGGATTTCAGCCTGCAGAGTGTCCGTGCCCAGGCGGGAGGGAGGGAGTCCCCCCCTCCTCCCCAGGCCTGCTTGCTCAGAGGAAATGAACCAGGTATGATAGACAGAAGTCAGAGCACACCTGGGGCTTCCTGATTAGGGGCATAATCAGATTTGAAATGCTTCTGCAGAGCTCCCCAAAAGTACCCCAATTTCACAGCCAAGGGGAGCTCTTTGGGACCAATCATCATTCAAATTAATTATGAACAACCAACAACAATCTGCATCTAATTTTTCCTTATTTAGCCCATCCCTGGGAAAAAAATCAGATGAGAAAAGAAAGGAAGATTTAAAAATAATAGTAAAAAACAGCACACTGCCCAGCAGAAGAGATACTAAGCAAGAAGAAGGGCATTTTTAATATGGGAATTAGCAAGAGGTTTGGGCGGATGCAGAAACCCCGTCAGCAGATGAGCTCAGGAAGTTGCAGGCACTTGCCCAGAAATTAAGAGGCAGAGCAACACCTGAACAAAGAGCGGACGGTTCCGACTTGCTCCTCCGCTGCCTTGCTCCACTCCCCGCATTGCTGGTAAAAGGCATGAGAGAGGAAATTGAGAATTAGGCGCAAGGCAGAGCAGGGAGAGGAGCGAGGAGAAATGCTTACGGCACCTCATCTCAGCAGGTGAAGAGGGTGGAGGTTTAACTTAAACCGTGGATTAACTCGCTGGGTGCTGCCGATGGAAAATTAAAAAGCGTGCAGATAATAGTGGAGAAGGAGATACTGGGGGGCTGAATTTGATGAAGCATCCTTTTCTGGGTAATCTATCTCCCAAGAGCATTAAGCAGCGGCCTGGAGGAAGAAACTTGCCTTGGGGTGCTTTTTGAAAGGAAAAACAAGACCAAGACAAAACCAAAAATCCTCAAGTCCCGTTTGAGACAAAAAGCTCGGAAAAGAGCCGCGGCGGGCACACCCACGCTTCCATGCCCTCTTTCCCATGGCTATTTTCACCCAGAAGTGCGCGTCCCCTGGAAAAGGTGCGTCTTGAGCTTTTTCCCCATAGGAGAGTCATCCTGCAAACAGGCACTGCGACGGCGCGCAGGGAACCCAGGGTGGGGGGAGACATTCACTCTGCATTTGGCGAGGGAGCAATGCTCCCCATGCAAGGCAGCCGACTGAGGGCAAAGACAGCCGCCACCCGTCTCCTTCTCCAGGCTGGGGTCGCACAGGTGCAGCTGTGTTGCGGGCAGGCCCCAACAGGACTGGGCAAAGGCTTTCTGGAACCAGTATCTGACAGCAGCCAGCGCCGCCGCTGCTCTTTTGAAATCTCCCCCTCCAGCAATCTTTTAAAAGCACTGCCAAGAACCTCGGCGTTCTGAAGTAAGAAAAGATGGTGGCCCCTTGCCAACCAGCCAGCTGGGCGCTGGCAGGCACCTCTGAAGGAGGCTGGGCAACCCAAGCATCGGTGGAGCCCTGCAGGGCAGGGTCTGGCCACCTCGTGGCCCGTGGTAGCCCAGCGGGCTTCTCTTGCCTTCCAGCCCCAACCTTCAGAAGCTCAACAGCCCTGGGATTTCTTGGAAACTTGCCGGAAAGCGAGGCATGGGGACGGTTCCTCAGAGGGACTGGGAGCTACCAGGAGAATGCTGCATGCCACCCCCATGGCCCCCCAGAGGCGCTCTCAGCCGAATCCAGAGTGCCAGGCATGCTGCTCCGTCCCAAAGGACTGCACGTTCCCATCCCTTGAAGGGACGACTTATGCCAGGGAACACCAAGGAAGCCTTCCTTTGAAACACTCTTCACTCCTTCTAGGGACCATACAACATTTTCCCCCAGTGGGGCATCATTCCTTCATCCTGACTAGTACTGATTTGGAGCTCCCTGCTTAATTATTATCCAGGTACCACACCCCAAACCAGTGACTTGGTTTGCACATCTCACTGTGGCTTATTATTAAATTATTAAAGCTCTCCACCTTGCTTGTCCAACCTCTGTTTGGCGGCTGCCAGTAACACAGAAACACGGAAACAGAGCGAGTCAGAAGGGGTCTCCCGGGCCATCTAGTCTGACCCCTGGCTCCAGCTGGCTCCACTCATGACATGCCCGCCATGTGCATGTCCAACCTATCCTTGGACACCCTCACCGATGGGGCCTCAACCACCTCCCGGGGAAGCCCATTCCATACCTGGGGGTCCTAACTGTCAGGAAGTGCTTCCTGGCATCCAAATGGAACCTGGGTTCCTTGAGCTTGGCTCCATTGAGCGCGTCCTGCTTTCCTCCGCAGGGCAAAACGTGTCTCTACCCACCTCCATGTGGCTCCCCCCCACGTACCTCTATGTCACCTTGGAGTCTCCTCTTCTCAGTGAACCCACCAAGCATAGGTTACGAGAGAGCTGAACAGACCACGAACAGACTGAGTGCAAGGTAAGGTCTGGTTAAGGCTGTTCACCAGATCTGCACTCCAAGGCGGGCTCTGAGCAAGGCCTGGGCATTCAAAATGGCAGCGACAGACATTCTGCGTACGCGGCGGCCTCACTCTGGCTTCAGTGACCCAAAATGGGTCATTGTATTCTGCAAACCGGCCCCCCGCCTCTCAGGGCTGTGTAACCTGGCCCACTTGTACACATGCGTGGACCCTCAGAGTAGAATCGCCGGGGATGCGTAAGGCTGCCTTGATTTTGAAATATAATTTTAGGGGAATCCACGCTGCGAGGGAACGCCTGAGCTGCCGGGCCTGACCGGAACGCAGGCCATCAAGTTCCTGCCCCGACAGAAAGATCTTACTGCTGTTTCTAAAACGGGCATACAGTGGGTCCGTGGAGGGCCTCCTCTGAAAGAGTCTGCCGTGAACGTGAATTGGGTACTGAGTTCCACTCCGTGTGAGCTGCTTCGAATCCAGAAACTAGCCACATGATTTTGGAGGTCAAGGGAAACTGGAAGGGTATTTTAGGGGAAACGGCTCCCCTGGTTATTCAGACCACTCCTCAGTTACAAGGGGCAAACAAAACATACTTGGATTTGTAAGAGTGTGCAGCATTTCTCTGGCAGCGTGAGAGAAGAAAAAAAGGGAAAACAATGTACCAACTAGGATATGAACATGTCCTCATGTCTCTTCCACATGCCAGTCAACTGTTAAAAGAGGGAGATTTTTTTTAAAAAATAATGGTGTACCGAATGCATTTATTCCCAAAAGTATGCTAAAAACAAACCAGGCCTGAGTCTTGTTTGCACACCTTCCGTTCTAAGGTTTTTCTGTTGAGTTTCTGGAAAAAAATGCTAATACTGCTTGCAATTCTGGCAACTTGGGATACGAAGCCACTCAAGATTAGTGAAGTTTAAACTATTTTACCAAGAGGCCGATGCCATGCAAGAGGCGCTATTTTAATATAAAACACAGGCCCCGCAAAGCTGATATTAATCAGCCTGTGGAAGAGCTGAGCTTGCTTGATAAGCATGCAGCTAGCAAGCTCAGCTCCGGGGCACACGGCCTGAAATATGAAACGACAATCTAGCAAACTCAAACAAAGCTGGAAAGCAGCAGAAGGTCAGGAATCGGCTTTCGCATCTGGAGCAGGGCCACTCCTGCCAGCAATTGCTCCCCACCACCCCAGGCGGGAGGGCCAGCAGCTCCGTCCTCACCAGTCCATGCATCCCAAACCCCACAGCTGGGCCCACAGCCTACCTGTCCTGGCGTGGCTCCTAGACGGGGCTTCTCCACTCCTGGCCGGAGCACTGGAGGTTTTGGCGAGCTTGTTCGCCGACACCCTGTACATGATCCCTCCGATGCAGCGCAGCCCCTTGTCCTTCCAGCGGTACTGCGACGGCTGCCCCTTGCTCCCGGGCGGAGAGTGACAGCTGCGGTTGGGCACCAGAGGCCTGCAAAGGCAACACCACGGAGATGAGCAGGTGAGCAGCTACACGCTCGTTCGGGACTTTCTCACACGCCTGCTGGCAGGCTGGCTAGTCCAGCATGTGAAGGTGCTCGTGGAGCCCCAGCGGCCCTTCACAGCCTGCCAGCTGTGCGCCACCCAGGCATCCTTCCTGCCTGCCTGCCTGAAAAAACTGCCTGTAACCAAGTTCCCCGAGCGAATTGAAAACCAGGCAGCCCCAAATCCTAGCAAGAAGAAGGTCTTCCAGAAACACAGCAAACTGCAGACTTGCACGCAACCTGCATTGTTATTCTGCTCCCGGAAGTCAGGTTTTCAAGGCATTTAGCCTCTATTTCCTCTGAGCGCTCGCCAAGCCTGCTGCCCCAGAGCCTCTAATTAGAGATGCCGAGGAGTGGGCACGGGCCCCTGCCGCTTTGCCCCTTCTGGTGCTCCACATTCTCCCTCAGAGCCTTATGACGCCTCTGTGCAACAGGGAGACGTTTCTCCTCATACGGGAGACGAGGAGGAAGGCGGCTGTGCTTTCAGACAACGTGATAAACTACGCTCAAGGGTGGAGCCTGGCTCGAACCTTGGGCTGATGCTGAAACATGGATGATTGTGTTGGGTGAACCTGGCTGCACCAACAAGCCATGGCTTGCTAACCATGAACAACCCATGAAAAGAACCCAAGGTTTATTGCTGGCTTGTGAACTGTGGTTTGTCATCTTGGCTGGGTTCAGACAACATGGTAACCCATGGTCCAAAAAGACAATAGTTTAATGATAACTGACACTCAACTCATACCCCACCCTTGGAGTTATTGTGCTGTCTGAACAAAGTCAATAGCTTGCTTAGGCCCTGAGCAAGATATGGCAGAAAAAGAACTGGAGTCATAAGCTTCCCAACTCACAAACACTTCACCATGCAAGCTTCCACAGCAGCCGGGAGGACTGGGAAAACGGAGCCTTGCTGCGTCATGCAACTGCCTTGCCTTCGCTTCAGAGACTTCCCTGGAAGTTATATGCAAGATCTCAAGTTCCTCTGCCCAATCATGAGGGCTAGAATCTTCTTCCTCTTTTTACATAAAATGTTGGTGTGATGTCTATGGGTTCTACAGACAACTCTGCCCGCACAGGCTGACTTTGCATCTCTAACAATGCCCACTGACATCCAAAGTCCACACACCCACATTATGCCAACAGCCATTCCAACCAAATCAAATCTTCTCCAGTATCAGCTGTCTTAACTATTTAGCACTAATCCAAATAGTAATTTGTTTATGCAAATGAGAGATCTAATTCTGAATTAGTACAAAACTATGCTCATCATGCTATTAGCTGAAAGTACATAACCACAGCCCCAGCTGAAGAATGGATGGAGACGAAAGGGCTGCTCTCCTATCAGCAGAGAGCAAACGCCTGGGCAGCATTGCCTTAAATGAAGATGCGTGGCACAGGAAAAGAGAATTGTTACGTTTATTAGTGCTTAGCATGGCAAGTTCATTCTAATATAGTTGTTGCCACTGGCTACCAGCCTCGATCCACTGTGCCTGGGAGTTCGCACAGATGTGGGAAGGCAGCGCTCACCACATCGCAGGCCCGCTTGAAGGAGGCGAGGACGCAGGAGAGGGGAGGTGGACGCGCAACTTCAAGCATCCCTGTTCCAGGCTGACGCGGGGGCTCCCCCAAAATACGGAAGCGAGGTGCGCATTTGCCCGAGGTTCTCACCTGCGCTAAGAAAAGGGAGCTCCCTTGGGAGCCGCTCAAAGAACGTGGGGACTGTCACAGGAACCCGCGTTCACACCCACTCCTTTCCAGCCACCCGGGGAGCCCCGGCAGGCAAGCCGGGCTGGGGGCACAGGTGCCGCACGGAGGCGTCTTTGCGCGCTCTGCCACGTGGAGCAAGGCCGCTGCAAGGGCACTGCTCTCGGGCCTGCTGGCTTCACTGGGGCTCCTCAGCTGCTCGGCTGAGGCGCCGCACAGCCTTGTGGCACAAAGGAAATGCATCGCATTCAGAAATGAAAGAAACCCCCAGGAATACCTTTCCCAAGGTGTTTCGAGGACTCCTAGACTTTGGCATATGCTCAGTGTCCCTGAGGAGCTCCACACAAGGGTTCAGCAAAAGCCAAGCCTCCCCCCTGATCAAAGAAGCCACACCGTTGGAAAAGGCTGCATACATGTCCATTCTCCCTCCCTCCCTCCCTCCCTCTCTCAGCAAATTATCTGCCTCAGGGCCCAGGTCTAAGTCTGCTGCTCACTCTCACTACTAACGGATCGGACTGCATGCCCTCCTCAGGACTGACCCCCAGAATCTCCAGTTTAAAGGAGCCAGACAGCAGGGGACGGGGAAGCCTTCCGAGTCCTAACATCCTGGAAAGCCACGACCTGCTGGGAAAAGCAATCCGAGGCCATAAAGACCCAGCAGGTAAGGCGTCTGTGGGCTGCACAGCACCATCTGATGCTCCCGCTGGCAGGTTGCAGCAACAGGTTCCGCACTCCAAGTGCAACCTGTCTCTCTTTTGCACGTGTGTGCTACACCGTTTCGTACTTGCTGCTCCGAATTCGTTGTGCTTGCCCACTGAAGAGATCGACACCAACTTCCCTACAATCTTGGTTAACTGCATGACTGAACATCACCAAGTGGTCGCCTGTCCTTTCCAATCACCCAATATTCACATTTCTTCTTAAACAGGCTATGACGGCGACCTTTAGAGGGAAGTCCAAGATCGTTTCTTCCAGCAATCAGACTGGGATATCCCCTTCACTCAAGAAATCCTTTTCTAGAGAAAGCAAACAGATCCCCCCCCCACCCCCCGAAAAAAGGCTGCCTACTTTGCTGGCACACCTGGCCCAGTTCATTGCATGGCCTGCTTGCGGATACTGCTTTTCTCCGGCATCACATCGTACTATTTACTTGTTGGTTGATCTTTTTAAAAATTACCAGAGCAGCGGCAGCCAACTTTGGGTGGATCAGTTCTACAAGCATGACAAATTAGACGGCAATTCTATGTTTCCTTTCAAAATGAATCTGCATGGGAATTTCAAGTTGGCAGGGAACAACGGTTCTCTCGCTGTAGACCTACTGTGTTTTGCAGGCCCAGTCCTATTTTCTTTAGAAAGGCCAGGATGGCCAGAAAGATGGAAGATGGAGAATTATATCAGAAAAGTGGAAAGGGCTGTTGATCCACAGCGCACTTCCGAGAAAGGCCGGTGCACATGTGTGTGCAGAGCTTATGTGCCCGGGACACGCGGCAGCGGTACCCTTCTGCTGTGCCTGTAGTATTCGCTGACTAGAATGCCAGCCAGGGCCTTTTATTTATATTTATTTATTTTTCGAGGACAGGTCATGTTTGCATTTCTGCCTCCTCTGGGCCAGCTCAAGCACACAGAATCCAGCGCAGCCAATGCAGCATCCGAGCCGTGTGTGCTTCCCACTGTGTTAATATTGGGCGTCTATCATGTTGCAAACCTAATAATTAAAAAGTGTCTTGCAAACAGCACTTATTCCCCCCCCGGGTAGCAGCAATTTGGGCGCGTGCCCACAGCCGCAGTGGAAGCGGGAGCAGATAATTCACAACAGAACTGACACGGGCACGCACACCCTCGCCACGGCCACCTTCCTAGATCTGTAACTATTTAAAGCACAATTAATCTAAGGGGCGAAGCACGTGTGGTCCCAGACAGCCTTTTCCAGCAAGTAACCAGGCCAATTTGGCAGAACAGCAACCACAGAACTGCTTTCCAAACAGTCCAGGTGGGAACACACACACGTCTATAAAGAGGGACAGCAGGAGGGCTTTGAATGACAAGGGGAAACAGTTTGGGTTTCTGGGTGTGTGGAGGTGCTGTACCGGCACTCATCCTTTGAAATGCAGGGGACAAAGGATAACATGACATCCCCCCCCACCATAAACCAGCACTTCTGGCCCACACGGTGGTACAGAGAACACTGACATCGTAGTTTGGAAAAGGTTCCAACGTTCAGTGCGTCCGTGTCCCACCAGGCCCCTCCATTCAGAGTAAGATAACGCTGCTCTGTGTTCGAAGAACCGAACTGAAGGGAGCTGCTGCATATAATCTGGATTTCCTTGCACCAGGACTGAGTTAATAGCCAACAGAAGTACAACTGTAAGTGATGGAATGATATCTCAACAGATTTACCCTTCGCTGGTTTTATAAGGTCAGAGCAAGTGGTTTAAGGAACTGTAGTATGTTTGATGCACCTGTCATGAAAAGGAACACGACCCTTTCTAACCATAAGAGAACAAACATGGTTTCCTTCTGCGCCAAGTCCAATATGTAGATGAGGGCCTTGGTTTTTTCCTTGAACAAACCCATTCTATCACGCAAGAAATCTCAACGAATTTCAGTAGCCTACTTCAGAAGGCAGAAGGGGGGAAAGCCGATCTATATGAAATGCACACCCAAGAAGTGTAAGTGATCTGCAGTAAGTGATCCCTTCTGACGCCACGGTTGCTTCCTATAGCAAGGAGAAGGAACTAAGTGTCGACGAATGCAAACGACTGCATGGAGAAATAGAACTGTCAGCAGGGCTGGTGCCAATCAAGAAAAGTCACCGCTGAGAGCGGCTGCACGGGACCTGCGGGCCTGAACACTGACGATGAAGCGAGGGCCACCCCAGCCTCAGCTTCCCATCAGGAAAGCAGAAAGAAACAGCACAGGAGAGGAGGCGCAACCCAGGGCAGCAGCACAAGCCCTGCATGGGAAAGGCCCCGGTTCCATCCCTGAAGCCTCCAACTAGCAAGGAGCAGGATCTCCACCTGGAGCCCCCGAGAGGCCCAGCTGCTAGTCTGGGAAGGCCAAGCCGAGCCAGAAGGGCCAAGGGACGGGCTCTGCAAAAATGCAGCTTCCAATTTCCTGGCTGCGGGGCTGGGCAAGTTAATGAAGTGCTCATGCCCTGCGCCACGTTGGTCAGAGAAGAGAGCAACCATCGGCCCGATCGCTTCAGTGTTGTTTTGTCTGTGATGCCAAACCACCTGGGCCGGCT